TCGGTGACGTCAAGCTTGGTCCCATCACCACCCGATGTCCCCTCCTCTACATCATCGCCAACACAATGACTAGTAACAAGAAAGCGCATGCTTTTCCTCCTAGCACCGCGGTAATTCATGTATTATAGATACTCTCAGTCGTATATAGCAGCTTCTTTCTGTCCTTCTTCCCGACACTGGCCTCGTGATGCGGGCCACGAGTCATGTTCACTTCAGCAGCGCAGAGTCAAACATAATAACATTACGACGTAATGCTCTGGCTACGTACAAAACAACTATAGCCTACCTCGAAGCGTTGTGCCCTGTCATACCCCTCTTTGGCTTCCGGCCTCGAGGTGAAGCCGTAGAGGTGCTACGTCACAACGGGTGTGACTAGGGGCTACCAGGCGTCGACAAGCATCAGTTAGGTATGAACGAGGTTTATAGTAAACGGAATATGTTTCCGAGAAGCATGATGACGCCCCAACGGGCGTTCGTCGTACATACTACGTCGCCCAGGCAAGGAATACACACCGTCAGGGATCAAAGTCGATTCTATCAGAGACTTGAAGACGGTGGTTCATTAACCTTTTTTTGCTATGGTTTCGTGGAATGGAAGCTGTATCATAACTCGGTACATGTATCGGCTGCTATTTCGACAACATTTGTCTTCACGTCGAGCTAGTGTCTGCTCTGGCCGAGCCCGGGGCCGGATTCAGCGGTATATCGGGGTAGAGGTCCAGAAACCTCACATCAGAGCCCCCTCATGAAGCAAAGTATATCAGAACAATTACATTGCCCCCTTCTTGCCAGAGACAATGGGGGTTTTTGAGCGCTCGGGCAGCATCACCGAGAACTTGAACCGTAGCTGGTTAGCTAGCTATCTACGATCTGATTGTCAGCGGGCGCATGGGGGGCACGAGGAGCGAAAGGCACTGTTTTGCATCCCAGAGCCACCACTCTCTCCCCCCACCCCTCCCAATAATTGTTTTCTCATGTTCTTCTTAGCCGGGGTAAATTCCTAGGAGGTGAGTGCTGCTCGCAACAGGAACCACCAAGGTCCTACCGAGAGAGGAGGACGGAAAGGTTCTAGAGATCTGACCTCGCCTACGCCTACCATAGAAGACGAGATAACCTGATAATACGAGTTCAGCACACATAGACTAAAGTATTTCCCTCGTACCCCCAGAAGCTCAAAGCTCGACGGGTTGTTGTTCTGCCCCCATCCACTCCCCTAAGGCTTCCCAGTCGTGACAGGGCGAGGTTGAATCGCGGCCACATCAAACGAGGTCTAGTTCAGAGTAGCAATACGGAGGATGTTCAACCCGCATAACTGCGCAAGCATATGGGCCGTCCCGGTATCAGCTAACACCCTCCGTCGGCGAAGTGCCGTTGAGAGGTCTTGGCCTGAAGAAGCGGGAAAAGTGAGTCCACCAATGAAGAGGACGACGAAAGGAACTCTCACATCAGGAAACAACGACGCCTCTTCTCATGTTAGCTATCTGTGCCGCAAAGAAGAAACCAGCTTCAGAACACCGAGCATATCTTGTGGTATCTCGACAAGATATCCGGGCGGCCGCAGTTGTCGGCGTTGTGGTCCCGGGTGCGGTTTGCGATGACAGGTTGACGCGCTTGCAAGAAGCGCGCGTCCGCGGCTAACTTGAGTCCTGTCTTGTCACCAACAAGGCAACGCTCAAGGAGGTAACATTGAAAGAGGTAACAAGTGGAGGTGGAGCTACGACTGACTGTCTTGCTTCAAGCGCGGCAACCAAGGGAGGAGTTAATGTTTGTTTGACAATCACCGGCAATGAGGATCTCGAGGTTGATGCGATTGATGGTAACCATCAAATTGAGACTATCTACTACACTAGCTAATATCTACCACAGAGAACCAAGCCTTGAGCAACCAACCCTTCCAACCAAGCTGCTTCTCGGCAGCCAACCCAACGATACAGAAAACGGGGTATCACCACGGTATAACAAAAAAGTAGGGGTATCCAAACCAAAAATAGTAAAATGCAAAAAAAGACAAAAACTCCAGATGCCGATGATCCCATATGCCAATGTTTGTTCCAGTGTGTACTGAACCTGTGTAAGTGCAAATAACCCCCACCTTTTTTGATAGCCCCCGTGGTATGTTTTGCAACCCGTTTGTTCCCAGTTCCTGAAAATGCTTCATTCAAATGCTCAGATGCCGCTTTGGTCCCGTAGGATAGACAAGTAAAGAAAAAAAATATTAAAAAAAAGTTGGCCCGACGATGGCTGGAGCGTCGGTGAGTCGGGCTAAAGTGCCGCCCCACCGAGCCGGTGAGCTCACCGCTTATTAAGCCCGGACATGATTAAAAAATGTTTGCGATGAGAACGAGCCCTCAACCAGCCTGTGGCAAGGATGAATGGCAGAAGAAGAAAAGTCGGTTCGAAAATGAAGCGCCGAATGGAGGAAAAAGATGCAGAAAAAGAATGCTTCGCAAACGCTCTCCCGGAAAGGAAATCGGATGCCGAACCGGCGGGGCTGGGGTTGCCGATCAGAGCGTCCAGACCAAGATCCGCCCCAGGTGGAGGAGGGCGGGTATCTTATTGGTCGATCCCATTGTGTGGGCGGATGGGCGGGTTCGGGTACGTCTCGGCAATTTGCCGGTTGTGCGTGTTGCCTGGGATTGCAGGCGGTGAAGGCGCGGAACGAAGGCCCGGCTCACGGGCCGTTTTTTTTCTTGGGTGATGCCCCTTCATTAACCCGCAGATTTTGGTTCCCAGAGCCCGTGCTGAAATCCTTCCCAGTTGAAGAGAGGGTATTTTCTGGGTTCGGTCGGTGCGCGTCCGAGCACCCCGACCAGTTGAAATCTGTCTCGCTGTGCCGAAACTTGGCTGTTGATGCTGTAGGTCTCGGGCGACGCTTCGGTAAGAAGGCCCGAAGCCAAGGGAACCGAACACTGAAAATGTGTGCGAAGCTTGGCTGGTTTTGCCAAGATGCACTTCTCGGTAGAACTTTCCGGAAAGTGTGCGTGCATCTGTCCCGGGCCACGGGATTATTGCTTGTAATCAACAGTGGATGTTGATGACGAATGCCCGAATGCCCGAGGATGAGTCAATGCTGGATTGATTTCTGTCACCATGTGTTAGTCCAACTTCCTATCTTGGCCCGTGTCGGCAAGCTTCGGGTAATGCACTGTTTGCTTGGTCGCACATGGGAAATGCGATAAGATATGCACTTACCGATTGGGGGTGGAGCTGCCGCTGTCAGCACCCGCATGTGGGGAGCCGCTCGTTCACTCAGCCTCGGTGATGGTAGTCATGGCAGAGAGCTTGCTCTTGGTCGCCTTCTTGGCCGAGGCCGAACGCTTCTTGGGACCCGGTCGCCGCCGTTGCTGGTCCTGCTCGGCCTGCCTCCGTCGCATCTCCTTCTCGGCCAGGACGATCTTCCTCATCTCGCGCTGGTAGGCAAGCTGCTCCCTTTGCAACTGGAGGAACTCGGCTTCGGTAAGAACTGGTGCCGCGGGGGAGTGGACGGGCGAGGCGCTGCCTTGGCTGCTCGAGACGCTGCAGGCGTCGTCCTCGAACACGTCCATGAACAGCTCGTCGTCTGTGATGTATGACGTCGCCCGCTCGTAAGACTCGCCCTCTCCGAGAGATGACCTCCTAGGCCATGAGGGAAAGGCGCACTCCGGGTCGGGTCCCCGCCGAGACGAGGAGCGCGGTGCGATATCCATAGGTGAGGCCATGTTGCTGGATGTGCTGCGGGATGTGAAGGAGTCGAAAGAACTGCTCGATGAGCTCGAAGAGCCATAAGAACCAAACCCGAACATTGTGATTTTTGTTGTGTAAGACGCGTGTTTTTTGGTTGGTGTGGGATGACGTAGTGAGTGCCTGGTTGAGGGTTGTTGTGGAGCTAGGTGGATTACGGTTATTGTTTCAGGGTACTGGCCACCGGCTGGTGATGTAGTTGTGATGGAGTTTTTGAGGCAAATCGGGGGGGCAACGATGCAGAAGATATCTGTATGAAGGTCCTCTATATCTAAGATCGTGGGGTGGAGCGTGGGTTGGTAAGGCAGCAAGGGTGAAGGTACCTGGGCAGTCCCAATAGCCAGGATTGCGTGGGGCAGATTAAATTGAATGCCGAGGTGGTCAATACGGTGACTCGGGAAAGCAATGCAAGGGGGGCGTGTGTGTGTTGGGAGGGGCCCCTGACACACCGGGGGGGAGGCGGGATGTGGCACGCGGAATTTGACAAGGTACTTTTTGGCTTCGGACGCTGCTGGCCGTCGGGTTCGCACCCGCGGGGGATGCATCGTGACTTCCCCCCAAGGCACCTCAACCCTCGCCAGCACCCAACCAAGAGGGCTGCCTGGGGGCGGCACGCCCAACCACGGCCCCCTTCTCGAATTTCGAATGGCCCGGATTGGTACCGGGAGAGCCCCCACGCATACGCTTGGACAAACAGAAGCTGCCCTTTTGCTCACCGCACACGGCGCACGCCCAAGGGAGCAAGTTGCGGTGTCTGACCGCCATCCGTCCTTCGCATTTCTTTCGCACCCACAAAACGAGAAAAAATATACGTTTTTGTCCTGGGGTGTGCGTCCGGCTTACAGATTACTGGCGCACAACCATAAGCTCTGCTACCACGTCGGCCTTGTGTGTTGGATTTGAAATCGGGATTGGGTCGGACAAAGACAAACGGGGAGTCACTCGGAGCCTATCGCAACGCCGCCCCCATGAGGAACGTGTCAGCAACTCGGCGTGCCCCCCGAATCCGGGGGCTGAGCTGGGGAAAGAAGGCCTCTTCAAACGAGGCCCAGAGCCCAGCGCCCCGGGTTCTCAGGTCCCTATCTTGGGCAGCGTTTTATAAACGGCGCGATCCTTGCCCCCCTTCCGTTATAGTTTCTCATGAATCGCGCTTCTCCCCTGCTCCGGGCCCGTCTCCGTCTTGCCGAGGGCAAGGGTTCAAGGTTGGGACGGTCGGTCTAGGGGCTCACCCTGGACGCCCCTTCCCCGGCTTGGCTCCCCGGGAGATCAAAGCCCCCTGTTACCCCATGATTTCCGACGCCCAAGCGCGCCTCACCGCCTGGGGGGGGGACGGCAAACTGCGAGACGAGTCACTTTTGGTTCATCTCGAGGCGATGTGCATAGAAACAAACAAACAACACCACAGGCCTAGACGCCTCTCGGGCGTAACGGTGAGGGAGGCGGCAGCGGGTTATGACTACCGCGTCCAAGTGGCGCTGTTCTATTGCAAACATGGTGTTGCTTGTTCGATGGGAATGGTTGTCTTGATTGTCTCGGCTCGGCTGCTTGCTTTTCTCTCCCCTTGGATGTTGGCCTCCTCACAATTGGCTTATCACCAACGCACAAACTGGTTGCCGAACAAACTCGAGCCCTGACTGGTGCCTGCCCACCAAACCCACCAAACCCACCAACAAACCAGAAACATGCTTTGCTTGCCTCCATCCCGTTTCGCTCACCTTGCCCGGCTCCGGGCTACCGGCCAAGAGCCCGACGAGACACACCAAACCACCTCACTAAATGAAATCAGGTTCACGGGCATCAAAAAAAGGACAGCGAAACAAGTGGCCACCAACCCGCATGTATTTTTGGGGGGGGGTTGTGGTGTGGGGCGTGGTCCATGTGTGCAGAGGGCGCTGCCGTTGTTGGTTGCGGCGGCTGTTGAAAATAGCTTTTGCGGGCGGGAGCGCGGGCGAGCGGGCGAGCCCTGTTTTCCCACGTTTGCCAACACCAAGGTGCAGTCTTCGCTGTCCAACTCACCCACCTCACCGCAATCCCGAAAGCTGCCCAGACCCGGTGACGACGAGGTGGCATGCAACGTCACCGTGACCCCTCACGTTGGGCTCACAAAGTCTCATGTGGGCGGGCATGTGTTTATATTTTTTAATGGGTTTTCCTTGTCTTGTTGCGGCATGTTCGCATCCTGGAAAAAATCACGCGCAGCAAGCGATGCTTTTACTCCCGTCCTTATCTACCAACCCACCTACCCGAAAGACTTTTGGGCCTCCGTTTTGCGACGGTATCACGATCGCAAGGCAGGTGTGCGTGTCAGGCAGCTGGCATGCTGTAATCGTGGGCGAGTGAGGTTTGAGTGGTTACATGCAGGCGGGCGCAGCCCTATGTCCAGACCGACCGGCGAACAATAGAAGCCCGTTTGTGTTCGTTCTGTCGCGTATAGGGCTGCCTATCTAGCCGCCCGCTCCCGGGAATAGATACCATGCCGGCGTAGGCGAATCCCGCCATGCGGCGTCGAGTCAGACTGGGGAAACACAGCGGCGTAAAGAGAAGCTGCTGCTTACTGTGTGGAAGTCCCCTCGACGTCCCCTTTACATCATCTCACCTTACCAATCGCTATCTCCTCGTACCGAAGATAGGAGGGGATACGGATCATTATTAATCGGGAAAGGCAAGTGAGAGGCGGGACCGAAGTTCGGAGGCAACGTTCGCGACCGTAAATTTTCGGTTGCGACAGAACCGTTACGGGCGTGAAAAGGCGGATTTCGGCAGTTTGCCGGTGTGGCTTCCGATGATTGCGTTATCCGCTGTCTGTATTGCACTTTTTGGCGGACAGTGTTCAAACAAGCTGGAATCGGCCGAAATGCGGACAGCCCTGTTGCATCCGACCGCCGATAACGCCAAACCAAGATGGCAAGTCGAGATAAACTTGATGAACTTGATATGCAAGCCTCACCGTCTTCTTCCCGGATGATTTCTGATTCATTCCGCGGCAACTGAATCAGACAGCGCTTTGTTTGAGCTGAGCTCCGACGAGAGCTTTCCAAGGTCGAGGCGCTTACCGCATTTGGGCATTTTGCATATCGTCTACAAATCTAGCAAAAGTTAGCAAATTTAGCAGATCCAGTTCCCCTCACCAACTCACTCCCGGGCCTCACCTTGCTGCAAGGCGAGCTGAGTTGTCCCGTTTGGGCGCATTAGACTCCCCAGACCGCTTTTCCTGGAACTGCACTTTCCAGCTCTGGAACCCCCCTCCTGCATGATGCGCTGCTGGCTGCGGGTGTGTGTGTGTGTGAGACATACACACACCACAGGTCCAGCACAGTAAACGGAACGGACCAGTCGGTGGGTTCGCCCCCGGGGAAGCGGCATGCGCCAGATGGGCCGGAATGCGGATCCGACCCGCCCTCAAGCTCCTGACTAGCCTGACCCGCTCGTGAATCTCATGGCGTGGCCATGGCGGCGGACGGCGCTCCGCTGCCACGCTCCCCCGGATTGACCGCCGAGGGCAGTTTGTCACGAACGGTGTGCCCACACGATCGCGGTCCAGCCCGCACCAGGCGCCGCTTATCAGTGGATTTCTGAAGGAAGATCACGATAGCGCTTGCACGCGAACAGAAGGTGGCAAAGACTAGGTTACGAGGTCTTATCACCACGAGGCCGAGGCGGTGATTAACCCGCCGTCGTCGGGGGAATTTGGAATTTGGGAAGGCGGGGAGCGCAATTCCGGTCTTTTCTTTTTCGCATCCCCCAAACCCCCCATCCCCATGTCGATAGCGGCCAGGCCATTTCGCGATGGAGGACGAAGCTGACGCGAGGGACGGGGAAGCAGGGATGAAACATGGCTCGGATCCACAGCCTACCAAACCGGTGGGAACCCGGGCTCACCGGGGCTACCGGGCTAATTAGCCAAAAAGAAAACGACAAGGACAGCTTTTTTATCCCATTTCCTTTTTATTCCTTTTTCTCTTCGAAGCCCATCACGGTTGGATGGGAATCTCCGCCTGATGACAGGTCGAGGACGCCCCGGGTGCTTTTCCGCGACAACCGAATCGGCATATGCAGGTCGTCGTGCATCTGGCACACGATAAATCGAAACAAACACTGACTCGTCATCTTTACCCTCGTCCGGGGAAGCTGACCAGCCGTTCCAGATGTGCTGACGGGGCGTTCAACCGTTCGTTCAGGGGGGACCGGGGAACCGACCCGGACAAGGAGCCCAAGCGCAAAACTGCAATCTGTTGGTCGAGGCTATCCGGTGAGCCGGCTGGCCGGTCAGTCCCAGAAACTCAAAAAATGCACCGATTAGGACGACCAGGGCTCGCCTCCTCTCCCCCCTGGCCTGGCTGAGATGCAACAAGAACGACAAAACAACCCATGTCAACCATGCTTTTGGACCGGGGCCCCGGGCGCCGGAACCCTCGCCGCGGTCGGCCCGGCCGCTGCCTCCCCTTGTCCTGTCGTCGGCGCAGTACCCCCGAGACGGCCGGGTCTCCATCTGGTGCGAAGAGATTTTCTCGGGGTTTCACCGCTTGCAGAATCTGCAATCCGAGCTCCTGGGCTCGGTTGCCTCCGTCGGTAAATGAGGTCTCCACGACGACAACCTTGAACCCTCCCTACCCCCTAGCGTTAACTATCCTCGGTCCCGAACGACCGGAGCACCGGGACGGGGCCTCTCCTTCGCCTGCGCTAAAGGTGAGCTAGGCAACGGCTTTTTCCACAGCTTCCTTTTTTCATTCCAAGGACTTGCTTGTTTGGGCGAAAAAGCCCCCTTTCCCATCCTTGCTTTCGCCAACCCCAGCTGCCTAGCTCAGGGTAGGCTCCGTCTTGTCCAAAACGCTGGGTCGGTACCTTGAGGGTCCAAACCCAACCCAACCCCCCGGCGCGCGCTTTAACTTCCCCCTGAAATCAACGTTGCCATCTCCGGGGCGCTGGGATGGGAGGCAAAAAATCTCCCCAGAGGTTTGGATCCGCGGGAGAAAAAAAAGAAAACCTCCCCGCCACCGTGGGCGCGGCGCGGCGCGCGTGGGATGAAATCCCCGAATCGGTCGAGCGAGGGGGGCGCGTGGGGAAGGCTGGGCGACCGAGTGGCTGAGAATCGGCGCCAGCCCCAACGAGCCAACCTCTAGCCCACGTGTTTCCGATGGAGCCCGCCGAGCTTTGTCCCCCCACCACCCGCCCGCGCGGTTTGGGGTTGTTGAGAGAGGGTGGGGGGCGGATGGCTTCGGTGTGGCGGCGGGGTGAGTTTACTTTTGGGGTTGGGTTTGATGGTGATCGGTGTGTGGTTTGAGACCCTGAGGTTGGGTTTGAGACACGGGATTGAGCTGTTTTCGCATCGTTGCTGGTGATGGGGGTTCTGATGGCTCGGTAAGGTGTCAGCTGTCGCGTCTCGGCGCGCTCATTTTGGAGGAGCACGGGTTGAGGGTTTGAGGTTTGGGGGTTTGGGGTGAGGGTTTGTTGATCCAAGGCTGGTTCGATCGTACAGAACGGTTCGTGGGGTTGCACGTGCGGGAGAAGGCGTGATCGCATGGCGGAGTTGCAACACCTTGATTTCTTTTCTCAAGGGGAAGTATCTTCAAGGGGAAGTAGATTGTCGCCGTCCATGAGCCACGCGTCTCTGTGCTTCCGCACCGAGGGAGTGCGCTTTCACGGCTGACTCGGTGGCGGCTTCTTCGCAATCGTAGCTGATTGCTGGAATCGCCACCAATAATCTTTCTTTTCTTCAGCTTTGGAGGATGATTGGAGAGGCAGTCTCATTCTCGTCAATGCAAACCAACGAGTTGACGCGCATCGCCAAGCTTCGCCGCCTGCAGGAGGGGCCGCAGGCAGTATCCGACCCCGGGCCCACCCCGAATCGTCTCTCCGGTTCGTCGGTGCCAGGCCGGAGAGGTGGACCCCCGAGTCGGGGGCAAGTGGAGTTTGGCCGACTTACACGGAGTGGTTGGTGTGGGCTCCCTCCGCCGTCCAACCACACGCGTCTCGTATCACTCAAACTCGACAAAATCCTGTCATCTATTTGGCTTGGTTGCCCGAGCCAGTATCGTCTTTTGCTCGGTCACAATTCGTCAGAAATATCAGCTGCTGCTCCTTCAGGCTCCGTTTCCTCTCCGTTCTCGGGTGACTATCGTCGTCAGCAGATTGCAGAACGCCTATCCCTTGGGAAACACCACTCATGTTTGGGATGAGTGACTCACTAGTATCTCGTGATGGAGAGGACTGGACTCGCTTCGTAATGGCGGTTTCACAGAACTGACGAGTCCAAAGTCAGTACAACAATGCAACACCTTCCCTTTCCGCGATAGAGCCATCGAGTATTCAGGCAGTGCACCGCGAGATCCGGTGGGTCGCTCGTGTCATTGATACATTGTCTTCGACTGGACTAAGAATAACCTGAGGAGTCGCAATCTGACAATCCTGAGGCGCGCCAATGTGGACGATGCTACCACAGGGCGAAAGGCGAGCGATGCCCAAGGTCCAATCACAGACCGTTGAGGATCTAGATCTCATCACACTGCCGTCGCGACGATAGACGCGTGCAAGAGGAAAATCTCATGAAACTCACGCTTGGGGTTGAACTAATCATCACATCACAGAACGCTCTTACCCCTCTCCCTCTCCTCGAGGGGTGTGTCAAACAGGAAACTCGTTCGAGTCCTTATATTGAAATGAAACACCTACACCCACACGTGGTTGCTATCCTCCAAACAAAAAGCCGCATATCAAATCCATCACGTTTCTCCTCTCCTCGTTCGCCCCCAAGGTTTCACTTCGGCGTTCAGCTGCACTCTAAACCCCAGACATCACCGCGGCGCCTCAACAACTAGTTCATCTGCACCCACAGCCAAAACCCAAAGAAAAGAACCAAAAAATGACTCGTCACCTTCCCATCCCCATTTCGCAACAAGCCGCAGAACAAACCGGCCTCGAAAAGCTGAACAATATTGCCCCTCCCGCGGACGCTGAATGTGGTATGTGGTGATGTGACGGCGCCCCCTCCGATCGTTTTCGGGCCAATTGGATGTGATAGCTCACAAAAAGTGCGGGACAACAATGGGCGCGCGGACGCGCGGGGGACGACTCGGCTGGGCTTGGCTTTCGCTAAATCCTGCATGATCTATCACACATATTGAACCTCCGCGGCACGGGAGGAGTCGAGAGTGCGATGTGATCGTTTTATGAGGGGTATCGGTCCTATCGGGTTGTTTGTTCTAGATTGGGGCCTTGGGTGTTTGTTTGATCGGATCGGATCTGAGCGGGTGAGGATCAGTGATAGTGATGGTTAGTTTCCGCGGGCGACCGAGATAAACGCCGTTGTTTTGTGATTGCTCGGGTGGCTGATTCCGTTGAACCAACAGATAGATAGGCGATGAGCGCTGTTTCGTGGGTTGCGTACAGGACAGTGCATGTGGGATTTGAACTCCGCGGGAATTGTACCCGGAATGCACAGAGGTGTGTGCAATATGGTGAAGTAGAATCTGTAGAATTACGTAAATGCCCAACGGTTCATAAATAAGGATTTGTGCTAGCTAATTCACTACGTTAAGAAGATGCAACAAATAGTAATACCGTTTGTTGTGATGTTTCATGTTACTAGTCTTGACCGCTGGGCAATCATCCATCATCATGCTCAAGTAAGCAAATTCGAATAGCTTTGTGGGCAGATCGATGACCATGTCGGAGTGTTGCTTCACTAGATGGGTGAGACGACTCGCTCGAGAAGTGCTTCGACGGGGGCTTGACCTTATTGTTATGATGGAAACGTCGGCTAGTAAAGACTTTTTGGGTTCTTCTACAAAAGGGACCGAGGCGACTTTATACAAAATTGATGTAGATGTGTCACGATGATGACTGACGGATAAAAAGAACTAAATGAGCAAATAAATAACAAAAGACGTTAACGTCGGGCACAGAAAAACAAAAAGCTCACCACCAAGCCCCATTCCCCGGTGGAATGGAGGTTGGTGGCTACGAAAATCCTGAAAACAGGATTTTGCGCCGCGAGGGGGGATCGAACCGGTCCTCTTTCGATTGGTGTCCAACCGGTCCTCCTCACAATGCCGCTAAGCTAAACCGTTGTTTAACTTCAATTATGAGGAGGCGGTGACAGTGTGCGTGCGGGAACTTGTATATATAGCGCTGACAGGAAGGAGCGGTAAGAGGGGGTGGGCCTGGAGTTGGGATGGAAGATAGTGGTGGAATAGGGGACGTAGGGGAGCCTCAGCTTCAAGGGCCGAGCGAGAAGATGGTAAAGAACGTGGAGTCCCTCTTACTAGTGAGAGTTTGAGGCCCGCGAGGAAATATCTCCTCTTTTTGAGTGTCCAAGGAGCATTGTAAAGATGGGGGGAGAGAACCATAGGGCAAATGGCACATACAAGCAGCTTCAAACCATCCGGTCAAGAGGTACCTAGGTAGCTCCGGCTAGCACCTTCACACTACGAGGTTCTAACATGACAATCCAAATGGCTTCAGAGGATGGAGTACAACCTCTGATGAGTTTGCTAGTATTTGTTACTTGTTGAAACGACGCTGGGAAACGCTGTGAAGTTCTATGCCAGTATTATCACTGAACCCAAGAGGCCAACTGCCGCGCACCTTTACTTACAATCGTAGAACCACCACTGCGGCCAAGTCCCCACGGGTTCTAAATGGCAATGCCGAGGCTAGTTCCCCCCACGGGAATATATGGGGCGGGAGTTGCCATGCCCTGCTGGGCTAACTTCTCAAAGTCGTATGGGTTGAGATTGCTCGCTGTCGGCGCGGTCTGTTCAACGTTGTTAACGAAATGCTCTTCATAACAAGGACTCATCATGGCGGTGACGTTTTATCATGGTTAAGGTAGCCAAAGGGAGAACCGGAGATGTTGTGTGCAGCATTTGGCCAGCCGGAACCGGGAGCATCACTCGTCCGCAACAACTCTATATTTCACCCCAAACCCTATGTATCCCAATAATGGACCGAAAGTACCTCGCAAGCAAGATGTGTACGTGATAACGCTTGCGCCAACAAGCATTACCCCAAACGCCCTAAACGCCGCCATGCCTAATGTCTGTCCCGCTCTTGTCAACAACCCAATCCACATCCCCATGTATTACAACACATACCGCCCCTAACTCCTCAGCGCCTCCAACCGGTTCCGCATCTGATCCATCATGGCCTCGGTATCCTCCTCCTCGTCCTCCTCCTCCACCTGCGCCTGCTGCTTCTGGGCCGGCACCTGTTTCTGCTGCTGCGGCAGCGGCACGCTGGGCAAAGGACCAGCCGTCTCCATCCGGTCCTTGAGAATCTCCCCTAGCACCTTATCCACCTCCCCTTCAGCCTCCTCCTCCTCCTCCCCCAGCATATCCGCATCATCCGGCAGCACCTCCCCCACCATCTCCTCAATAATCCCCGCCTTCATCAGCTCCACACTCAGCTCCTGCATGGTATGCGCAAACTGCGGCAGCCGAATAAGCGAATTCACATCCTTCATGATCCCCACACTCGCCTTAATACTCCCCTCGATGCGGCGCAGCGCGAAGGCCTCGCTGACCTGCATCTGGACGCTGGCGAGCTGGGCGCGGCCGGTGACGAGGCGGTCGCCGGCCTTGCGCGTGCGGATCAGCTCGCGCGCGAAGTCGCGCACCTCCCGCTGCGCCTGCTTCTGCCGGGACGGGTCGCCGCGCTGCGCCCGCTTGTTGGCTGCGATGATCAGGTTCTTGGTCTTGGTCTCGGTCTGCTTGATGGCCGAGATGTCGCGGTCGAGCTTGCGCATGTTGGCGCGGAGGAGCGCGTTGCATTTTCGAAACTGTTAGGTGGAAGGTGGGTTTATCGTTAGCGAGAGGTGAGGTGGGTTTATTGGTTCGGGAAGGAGACGACGTACTTGGGCCTGGGGGTCTGGCTTTGCGAACATGTTCCTGAGCGTCTCCATGGTTGCTGTGGTGTGGTTGCGGTCGACGGGCGGCGGGTGGGCGATGGATTTGCTTAATTGATTCGATGTTTCTGCTTCTTATCGCGGTCACCAAAAGTGCTACCGCGATGGCCGATAGGCGAAACTATCGTCGGTGATGTGGCGGTCGCGGGCGCTGACGTCGTTGGGATGCTCCGGGCCAAGCGTTTGAGCCTCACCGGGCAACCTGAACGGCTGGGCCAGGGGCTCGGGCAGGCAACCCCCGCCTGGCCGTTGGACCCGCAGTTGCGCGGCCCTGAAGCCCCGCCATCTTGCACAGCTGCCCCAAGAGCGGACCAAAGAGACGTCTTCTTTTGTTGAAGCCTGTGAATATTTGATGTTGTCGACCCGGAATTGATGCTGAGCTCATATTTTATTAGATTAGCTCATCATGTACCTGTCAGGCCCGTTGCTCAGAACCTCTCCGGTTGTTAGGTTTGTTTGGAGATGAAACCCTCCAAAGTTTCCATGGCAGCAAAACCACCGAGGCTTGTGCTAGATCTCTTTCACGACCCTGATAGGTATACTGAAATGGTTACTCGGCCCTTGATTTGGAATGAATACTTCTACGTGGGTCCTATGCGTTCGAAAAGAATGTATGTGCACAATGCCCGGCGGGTTTTGTTGTGCCCGTTTGGACTTCCCCGCTCTTATGCACCTAAGCCACTCCTCGTAGGGATGGAGAAAAGCTGAGAAGCGCAGGGGAAGCTGATGATCTACAAGTAACTATGTATACTAGGACTTAGGCGGCACGCAGTCCTCCAAGCAGAAGGTAGACAGCCTTACGAGAACAACGATCAACTTAAATTCTGAAGTCATAGAATTTAAATTCAATCAACTTCTAGGAATATTCCTGCTCCTCAAGGAAAGCTTAATCGAACTCTCGACCCCACTCATCGCAGCTGTGTTAGGAGGGGGGAGCAGCTCAGCCTGAAGATGGCCCGTGCCAGTGAATCTTTGGGCTTCTGGCGAATTCCACCGTCACCCTGCAGCCTCACAACATCCCACTTGGTGCCTTCCTCTCCCGCCGAACTTGAACCTTCCAGTTGACAACTTCCAACTGCCACCTCCATTTCACTTCAGGAACATAACTTCGCTTTTATTACAGCTACTTGACTCCGGGGCACGGTTATAATTCGATTTTGAGTAGCAAAACGTTCGTCTCCAGCAACTGAGCTACCCCTCCTCAGCCCCCTCCACACTCAAGCCTTAAGAAACACAAACTCATACATTTCGTCACCCAACAGATCACAATGGTCCGAAACTAAGGTGACACCCGAGGGTAAGTTCGCTTTGTCAATTAGGTCCTTACGACCATTGTTGTCTTAAACGCAATTCTTTGGTTCTGGCTCCGGAGCTCGGGTGGTACCCCGCGATTGCTTTATTTTCGCTTTGCGCTGCGTGCTAACCATTGTTTGCCTGTGCAGTCCTCTGGGCGCAGCGCTCGTCCAACGTCGATGCCGAAAAGAACTTCGTCTACCTGACCATCAACGTGCCCGACGTGCCGAAAGGGGAACATCAAGCTCGACCTCAAGCCGACGGGGCCTCTCGTTCGAGGGGCCGCTCCGACACGCTCAAGAAGACCTACCACGTCGAGCTCGAGTTTTTCGCCGAGAATTGACCCCGCCGAGAGCAAGACCAGCCACACGGCGCGCGATGTCGAGATGAAGCTACGCAAGAAGGAACTCGGCGAGACCTACTGGCCGCGTCTGCTCAAGGACACCAAGAAGGCTCACTTCCTCAAGACTGACTTCGACAAGTGGGTTGATGAGGACGAGCAGAACGAGGCCCCCGAAGACGACTTTGGTGCCAACTTTGGTGGCCCTGGCGGCATGGGTATGGGTAAGTGGTCATGATCTAAACGCTCGTCGTTGTCTTGTTAGTTAACCCTCGCCCATAGGTGGACTCCCAGGTATGGGTACGTATTCGGCGGCATGAGATTTGGAGGGGCCCCTACATATATGCAGACTTGCTGACCACTATTGCAGGCGGCGGCGACTTCGGCGGCATCGATTTCTCGAAGCTGGGCGGTGGCGCCGGCATGCCTACTGGCGATGAGGACGAGGACGAGTCAGACGACGACATGCCGCCACTCGAGGGTGAGGAAGAGCCTGAGAAGGCCGCGAAGGCTGACGATGGCAAGGAGGCGGTCGCCAGCTCTTAAAGGAGGAGGAAGCAAAGCTGTTAGCAGGATCCACCTTCCCGCATCCTGACGGCCTCGAGCCTAACACGTCGATAGCAGCTCCGGACAAGCGTCGCGGTATGAATACGGATTAGTAAAACGGACTATAAGGCGCTAGGCCCGCGCGGCCCTGCAACAGGCGCAGCGGCGGAGCAATCTGATGTATTGAGATCGGTCTATTCCTCTTGCCTCGGCGAATGGAGCTATTCTTTGCCATGAGTTGATGTTGCGGCGGTCGGTTTGCAAGTGCCATGGCGGTGAAACCTTTAATCTTTTTAAGTCACTACGAACACAGGAATATAGTGCCGAGCATAGATGATTCCGTCGGAAGCGGGTCGAGATCTAGTACGACCGGGGCCATAAGAACGAGGGAACAGTTCCGATGTCTTGGACAGCTCGCAGTGTGTCCCAGGTCGATTGGCCGCGGGAGGTAACACAATGGCATGACGAGTCTGAGAGGTAAAGTGTTCCTTTATCGTTCCCTCTGGTGGAAGTGGTATTGTTCCTTTCTCGTCTACATTGGGGAGGAAGCTGACCAGCTTAACCCTGGCCATGGAGGCTGATGACACTTCTGGTGGCTGCAAGGGAGGAATCAACTCGCCTACCTACCCCACAGTGCCACATTGTCCTCGTGGCCATCTAAGCCGATTTTGATCGGATGCGCCATTTATCAGAAGAGTGAACCGATGAAACTTATATACCTCGAGCCCATGCCGCTTACTCTTTTCTCGGAGGTCCGTCTATCCGCAAGGGCTGAACTTTAATCTAGACTCCGACCTTCAACGCTTTCCGAGAACAAACGGACGCCGGGACAACAAGGTGGCACCATCGCAATGCCCTCCGGCAAACCAAAGAGATGCGCCCCTTCAAATGAGGCTGTACAGTCTCCCCTTCCAACCCCAGTACAAGTCTCGAATCCACCACCAGCTCCCTACACGGCCAAAGAAGCCGCAGAATTTGTTCGGCAAGGCGCATGCATGGTTGCTTGGCCACATGACGAGATCTGGGTAGACCCTTTCAAGGATGGCAAGGGAGGGAGCAGGAGCCAATGACGGGAGTGGTGGAAGGGTGGTGATGAAGATGGTTGGGGATGGGTTGAGAGAGGAAAAGCTGTGGAGGGTGAGGGAGGAGCATATCCCCAATATTGTGTTGTTTAGGTTGGGAGAACAGGTTCGGTCAAGTGTTTATTCGGTAAGTGTGCTCTCTCTCTTTGGTTGTTGAAGGTGGGATATATCATATCGGCTATTACACATTATGTTTTAAACTTTCTATCGACTAACTTGAAGCAAGCAGGTTTGAAATAGCCAAGTTAACGACTTAAAGAACCAATAGACTTGAACTCGACGCCCCTTTTGCATCCATGACAAACTCCGCCAGCATGTCAGGATTCATGGCCGCGCCTTCGAGCCTCTCGAGCAACTGCCCAGAAGAGCAGCTCGCGATCATATCGCGGATCCTTGTCGATCTGCCAGTGTGTACCTTCTGCCCGTCGTCAGGGCATGGGACATATCGAACCCACTGGCCCTGGCCCTCACCGTGTTTTCCACGACACATCCACTGCCACAGTCTTATGTCCTTTGTGGATGTGCCTGCGCCCTGCTGATCCTCATCCTCCCCCACCGGCTCCCACTTCTTGCACCACGCCAGCGACAACATCCGACGCCCGCCATCCGCGTCCCTCGCCACGAAGTCCACTTCCCTGCCGACCTCGCCCATCACGATCCCGTTACAATCCCACGAATCCCACGGCACCCGACCACGCCCGACATAGTCCGCCCCGAGCAGGCAAACAAACTCCAGCTCAAACCCGTCCCGTTCCACCGCATCGACCAGCCGCTCCCGAAACCGGTGCCACTCCTCCTCGCTCTGGTCATACACCGACATCCACGCATCCCCACTCAAACCCCCACCGTCACCAGCCCCGGCAGCCCCGGCGGGCGGACGACGACCCCTCCACAACGCCACGCGCTGCGCCCGCGTCAGAAACAACCCCTCCCTCTCGCCAGCAACGACAGAGTCAGCGTCAGCATCAGCATCAGCGGTCCCATCACCCCCCCACCCGGCACCGTCGCCTTCACCACTAACACCAAGACCCTCCCCGCACTGCCCCCGCACCCCCGCCCGCTTGCGCTCCCACTCGCGCTCGCACGCCTCCCCCCGATATCGACATTGACGTCGACGTCCCCGCTTCTCCTCCTTCGCCTCAAGCCGGTCGTCGTCCAGCGGCAGCACCATGGCGGCTACCACGCACAGGTCGGCGTGGGTGCTGGCGTAGGCTTGGTGGAGGAGGGTGTGGTGGGCGAGGTGTGGCGGGTTGAAACATCCGGGGTACAGGAGGATGCGGTTGGGTCGGTTGCGGTGGAGTTGGGGGGCTGTGGGTGTGCAGGCGAGGGGGTGGTGGTAGTGGCGGTGGGTGTTTGTGGTGATGGGGGAGAGGGGGGGTGGTGGCGGCGGCGGCGGCGGCGGGGGTGGTGTAGCTGGTGGTGGTGTTTTGGCGGGGGATGGAGGTGGTGGGCGGTGGTGTGACGGCATAAATTGTTGATGCGGTGTTGCTGTCGTTGTTTTCGTGGTAGACTTGGGAGATGTAGGCTCCCAGGTCGGCGGTTGTTGATGTCGCTGAGCAGGGTGAAGACATGATGGTGGTTGTTATGTGGGATGGAAAGATGATGGAGGTTTGTAGGGGGAACGAAAGGTTGGGGGCCTTGGGACAGACATGTTATGCAACACAGGCGAGTGGCGACCTCAAAATAAGAGTCATTGCGAAGGTCAGTATGGCGTCATGAGGTATGGGGACGGACGATGTGCTGATGTGCGCACTTCAGAGCGATCAGCTGACAGTGCTCTAGATTCGTTTGAATGTTTGGATATCCATCATCGCCAACATCAATACCTCTCGCGCTAGCTTCGTTGCCCATGCCAACCAAGGTCATGTACGTCAGACATCACCTTTCTCTCCAGACCGAAATACGTCAGAGGTTCAAAAGATGAAGAACATCGGGATTTTCTCGACCTATCATTTTCAATTCTCATCACACTTCAACCAAATCATTCATCATTTCGA